GTCGTCCCACGAGTCGGGCTGCGATGTGGCGAGGCGGCGTGGCATTCGGGGCGGCCAGCCACCAATTAAGTGGTCTCGCTCCTGCCTCTGATACGAGTCTCCTCCTCGCTATCTCTGATTCAAGTGATCGAGCTGAACCTCCGCGGTCCTACAGGTAGGCCCGCGCACCACGTGATTCCTCCCCCGCATTGACTATTTATATTGGATGTCGCGGCACCTGTAACCCTTCCGCCTACCACGGCGCCAGCGGCAAAGTCGCCCCAAGCAACCTCCCCCGCAGTAACATACGTCACCGAAATTCCCGGAAATAGGCGCGGGTAATTCCGTTGCTCGGTGAAGGGGTGTGTGTGGCGTGCTTTCCCCCGCGTCATAAGGGGTGCGTCCGGCTTTCTCGGCTGAACAAAAGAGGGGCATCTTCCTCCTCTCCCCCGGCGCGCTAAGCGGCTCTTACACAGGTACAGCGGTAACGGCATTTCCGGCTGCTCTTAACGGCGGCGCGGTTCTTAATGAAGTAAAATAAATATATGGCTCGTGTCGTCATCCGCGATGTATAGACCGTCCCATTACAATAATGAATTAGTTTACACTTGCATTGTATACATTTTTGAAAAAGGCTTAATATATTTGTAACAGAGAATGTACTTCAGCTTCCGAGTCAATGACACCCATCTCCATCAGGTGTTTGTCCAGTTTCCCTGATCCATTGAGCAAATGCTGAGATGGCCCCTTGTTTTGCTTCTAGACGTAAATGTAGCTTCACTAAGTGCAATTGGAGTTGAACTCTCCTTTTGCTTGTAATGGTAAGAGCAGAGGTAAGGGCGAGTTGCTATTAATTGTATTTGTGATTAGAATTGCTTCAAATGGTTTTCAATAACGTTTCTCGATTATTTTCTGCGGCAACAGAGAATTGTGACAGATAGTATTCACCGACCAAGACTCGACCCAGTGAACGTCCCCTCATTAGAGCTGAACCAATTTGCAACCTCGGCCGCCCGGGAAGCACGCGGGTTTTACGCGTATAGTAATACGCGTATGGTGGTTTCAGTCGAGAATTAGGAAGCCTAGCCGAAAAATCGAGAAAATGTGAAAAGAATGTATTCTTTTTAACCAAAGAAGGTGTGCGGGAAGAGAATCAGTCACCACTGAAATCCTAGTTTAGACTAAATAGATTACAAAACTAAATATTGCGAGAAAGTCTGTGCTATTTTATTGCACCACTAATTTATTATTAATTGCTTAGTCATTCATTTATTCAATTTTGTACTTTTAAAATTGTTTTTGTAATTAAAAAAACGAGTAACACCCGAAAATTGGACTAGCACCATATTTCTTACCGTCCTGTATTACATGTGTGGAGAAAATTTAAAGAAAAAATTTCGATCGGTTTCTGAGAAGATAAAAATTCGTAAATTTCAAGCGCAAATTACCCCAAAACTACTAAATTTTACGAAAAAAATGTACATGACCTTTTTTAAGACCTAATTTTGTACAACATACTTTGTCTGAGCCAAAATCCGCTATCTTCAATTTTGTATTTTTAAACATTTTTTTTGCCATTTTCAAGAAATCAGGGACGTCAGCAAAAATGAGATCTGAACCATTCTCTTAAACGTCCTTCGCACTACTGCAATGCAGAAAATCAAATCCTCAGTTTGTTTATCTTAATATGTTTAAAAAATAATAAACTTTCTAAACAATGATATTACATATTTTGAGTATAAATTTTGATAATTTTTGCTCAACAATGATGTATTGTAATTTTGATTACAGTTTCATAATATTTTTTTCAATTATATGCATCAATAAGTTTTTGCTCAATAATGATTATTGTAAATTAGTTATAGTTTTATAATTTAAAATGTGAATAGTTACTTACTTGTACAAAGCCAACTGGTGTGAATAAATAAAATAAAAAATAAATAAAGGGATTTAAATACAACTGACAGATGAGTTAAAACATGTACAAACGTATTACAAATTGTATGTTAAAAGAAAAAAGAGCCAGACAATTGATTTAATTAATAACAAAATGGGCGGGACAAAAAAACCCATAGCAGTACTTGCATGACATCAAAACAGGGACAGCTCTTGATGAAGTGACTTGTCACTAGTCAATAACCAAAAATAATAAACTTAATAAATAAAACAAAGAAAAAATACACAATTTAAAGTACCACTTTCTAATCAGGTAAACTGGGAAATTCTGAGCATCATAACTAATACTATAGTTTAGTGCACCAGGAAAGTCTCTCCGCAAAGAGCTGAGTCAGGGCCTCATATAAATAATTGCATTTGTATTGGTAGAAACCAGATCACTGGGAAAGAAGTAAAGGGGGACAACACTTCCAGCATCTGTAATGATTGTAGTAAGTACGTAATTTACATTTTAAAAGTTACAGCTCATGCTACCAACAGAGTTTCTGTTGCTAGCACTCTCGCCAGCAAGGTGCCACTGTGAGTAACTTTTCTGGCTCACTGTAGTATAGTACTATACTAGTGTTGGCCTTAACTAGTACTATTTTCCTGCTGGCTGTGAGGGGGATGCCAGTCTGGGTGTTTCACCGCGCAAAAAAATCATGCAAGCACAATTTAATACTCATAGCTATTAGTTTGGAGGTGAGGTCCTAGAGCACAATTTGTGACATAACGGTCAGTGTGGGCACTTAGGTGATATAAGGTATGTGTGCAAGAAGTCGTGGCTGGATGACTAATAATATTGAGCTGCCTAAGATGCCATTTTTGCCACTATTTTTTGATGAAGCTAGTGATGCTATAATAGCACATACTTTCTGGCATTATTTATACTGGTTATACATTATTATACTATTACAAGAACCTGTAGAAGTACTTCCACTCAGAAAATTTGTTTTATCCACGTCTAGGTTCAAACTTGGGTCCTTTTGAGTCCACACACCAGGAACATTATTCCTACACCACCAGCTGGATGACTAAAAGCAAACTTCCTGACACTTTAAAGGCCTCCTTGGGTTTTATTAGTAATTCAAGTCTATTTAGATATTGATATCAACCAATTTGTTACATATTTATTTTTTATATAATCGTTAGACCAAACAAAAGATATTATTTCCCTGTTTACTTTAATACTCATAAGGGAGTATTACACTATTTTATTGCAGTTTTCATGAAGTTAGTTTTTGTTAAAACATTTAATTTATTGTAATGTTATGCGAGAGCATTTTAAATGTGATTGAGCAGTGTGCATACTAGTTTTTAGAAAACAATTTTATGTGGTTTGGTTCAGCAAGTATTTCAGTTGCTGCGGACCATTGGTTTTCAGGTAATTTTTCATAGGCTTTTGATTTGATTTACTTCATCCAAAAAACGGTAAAAAATTACATGGTATTCAGGGTAGAAGCATAACCCAAGTAAGCTTTCTTGAGCTCCAGAATACCTACCCTACTCTTTTTAAATTTGATTACCCTAAAGGAGTAAAAAAATATTCATTTGATACTGTTAAACCTGTGTTACATTGCTGATTTCATTATAGCATGAAGTCTGAAATTTGATTAAATGACAGGTGACAATTTTATTTACCTGGAAGTAAAGCACTTCTGTGCAAAGGTTCAAAGCAGGCTCCTGCTTTACGAAATGGTGATTTACAAGCAAACTAATGGTTCAGAAAACTAAATTTCTTCATTAATTTAAGCATGAAAATGTGTAGTCGGATAATTGCAAATATCTATGGTTTGCAATACTTACCCACAGATGACACAAAAATAAAACTTATTTGTTAGCAGAGAAAGTGTTTGGGATGTTCAATGTCTTTATTTCATCAAAATATTATGTCAATATTTTTAACAGAGGGAATTTATTTCTGTGGATTCCACAGCAATTTATTACAAACTGAGCCAAATAGTACTTGAAAAGTGGCTAAAAGGGCTTTCGAGCTGATTCAGAGATCAACAAAAGGTTATTGTATTTTTCAGAGGTAAAATTGCTTAATGTACATGTCTACATTTCTCACAAAATTAAGAGGAACACGAATGATGGATAAGGTAATTGGACATTAACTTTGAACAGAAAAGTAGATATTTAAATATAGAACTCCTGCCTAATGCACTCCTTTTGAAATTTACACATATACATTTGTTCACATGCAACACACAGTAAAAAAACAATGGATGTATAAAAATATTATCCGGAAACATGCCGGGCAGTGTAAAGATCTGCTACATGCATGCTGAAATATTACTAACAATATCAGTAGGAATAAAGCTATCATGGATGAGTCTTGTTAAAATAACATGTGGCAGATGTGTAGATACTCGAGGAGAATTGACTACTTTCAAACCAAACCAAAATTTACACTGGGCTTGATCTTTGGTAACAATTAAACAAACTAGGGTAAGTTGACTTCCTATTTTCTTATTTCCATAAGCATCTTTGGAAAAAAAAAATCATCCTTATGATTTCAATTTCAATTCTGTTTCTGTTACCTTCAGAAAATTCTCTTCTGTGACACATCTCCAAGTAATACTACATAATCTGTTTTTCACAATTAATATATCTTTAGGTGAATTATGTCACAATTCTGGTTATTTTTTATGATTTGTAATGAAAACACAGTAGTTGTCAGTAGTGTTGGCAAGAATAAGAACTAAAAATAAGTTAATATATAAGTAGTATTACAGATAAAAGTAAAATACCTTAGCATATGATGCAGTTAAGTAACAAATACAACTCCGTTACTGAATATCCACAACATTTCCATGTGTTCTTTGTGTGGCAATAATGTGTGTTACTTCTCATCGCTCTTTTATACAATATTTCAAGATAAAAAAATTTATTGAAAAGAACTCAAATTCCATTCAGAAGAATCGGGCCGATAAGTAAATGCATCAGATAGTGAGGCTCAAGACAAAAGTAAATTTAGAATGGTCCAATTGCAGAGGTATGTAAATGTATTCGGAACTGTAAATAATCTAAAATTTCAGCTGAAGGATAAGAAACAAGTGAGAATTGTAGGGAATTATATCCACAGATATACTTGGTTCAAAATTATGGGGACTAGATATTAAAGTCAGAAAGAAAATTGAAGATACTATGTGAATTCAGTATATCTCAACAAGAAAGGGATATCAAATTATAAGTCTACAAAATGAAGATTTGAATTTAAAAAAATAGAAAAAGAAGACAAGTAAAAATACTAGAATATATACATAAAGAAATGAAAATACTATAATACAAACATTCAGAAACATAAAAATGTGTGCAGCTAAGGTCCAGAAATAAGAAGACACAACTTAGTCATATAAGTCAAAGATAAATGATCTTGATCAGAAGAAAGAAAAGGTACGCAGATCTTTAGAATTAAAATGTTCACATTAGTTGTCATGCAACAATTTTCCTAGTTTTACAGCTCAATATACACCGACAAATATGCTGATATAGGCACATTCAAAATATTTATTTTTCCTCTGTGGCAAGATGTTAATTATGATAACATAATTTACTTTGCAAGACCATTTCATAGTTTGGATGCATTTTTAAATTTTTACCTTTGAAATTAACAACTGCCAAACATTACAATATCCACAGGAATAGGAAGAAAATATTAAGACTCACAAGTTAGGTTTATCATCATTACTATCAGTAAAATAAAATCTGGGAACTTAAACCACCATCAATTTGGAGATTCTACCATCAAATGACAATTTAAAGATTTTTTTTAAAAGTTGAATTTGCTTGTACATCAAACATTAACATACACACACATGCAGCCAGCACAAAGTAAATAACTTATTATTTTTCTTAAAGATGGGACAAACAAATTACATTTGAGCAATAAACTACTCCTAATCATTTCTGAAACTGTAAAAACAAGTGCTTCCTGAATTTTCAAAATACATTTACTCTGTTGAAGCATAACAAACAATTGAAGTCCACAGCAAAAAAATCTAATATAACCACCAAAATATGTCACATAAGATATTGCACTTAAACCACACATACCCACAAAGGACACATTTCTGAAACACTATTAATTTGGATGTGTTGCAGTTTCCTTCCTAATGAAATTGTCCTTAGTACAGGTGTTTTGATACAGAATAATTTATTTTGTATGTCAGAAGTCAACTGGGCCATTAATCACAGGCTGGTCTCAGAACTCTTCCATTCTTGATCTCACAGCAACCTCAACCACTTCGAGGCTGGGGAAATCTAGCTCTTTTATCAGACAGAGTACAGCAGATAATATATTTGAGTTCTGTGAACAACAAAAAATAAACAAAATAAAATTATATTTATATGAAGTGGTATACCATTCTTTAATTTTATTGAAATTTTGAGTTCAATATAACAAATAAATTTGAGTTAAGTGAACAGTTGTTAATATATACATATACATTCATATAATAAACTTGAATTTTTTTTTCATCTTAGATGGAAAAAGCAAGAGAAGTTACTGGAATATTGCTCTAAGAAATAAATATTTTGGTGACTTACCTACATTCAACAGTGATATCGGAAAACATATACAAGAACACATTTACCAGGACCATCTCTGATCACCATCAATAAATTAAGTTTAAAAAAAAACGTATGAGAAAGAATAGAAAAAAGAGAGCTTGTAATTCATACTCTTGTGTTAAAACAAAAAGAAAGTTAAAAATGCAAGAAAAAGTAGAGAAGAGACTGGTTTACTTCAACTTTGGATATAGAACTGCCAGGCTTTGTTGTTAAAAGCAGTGTATACATTATCCTTTTAAGGATGCCAAAAGAAATATAATGGAAAAATACCTGGCATGAAAGCAAGACAAAACACCTGGCAACGAAATAAGGATACATACGAGACATTCGTGAAAAATTCTGGCTGTATTGTAAACAACATTCGTGCAACATTCCCCGGGCTTCAACTTCAATCCTTGACGTAATCGTTGGCCGGGGGGAGAGAGTATTTCGGAATTCACGTAACAATTCACTGATATGGAACCGCAGCTGCCACCTTTGGTTTCATTTTTACTTTTTCGCACTAACTACGTAAGAAGAGAAAGTATTATAATCGTGCGCCGGAAAACTGCGAAATTTCCGCAGGAATGCTCATATTACCAGTTCCATGTGGAGTGAAGCGGAAAAATCCTGTTGCTATTTATAGTAAATTACTTTCTCTAACACCTGTGTAGCTAGAAACCTTATTTTGCGAGTCTTTGTTCGATTGACGGCAATATTCCGTCTGTTCGACCGTGACCGTCCGTCCGTCCGTCCGTCCGACATGACAGGTCCCAATAATACGATTTGTTCTCTTGAAAAATCTCAGATTACTGCCACAGCATTACACTTTCTCTTACCTACGCAAGTAGGTAGTAAGTTGACTCTAAATGTTAGTATTCAGTGTAAAAAAATCATCCACACTAAAGAAACTATTGTTGGGTAAAAGGTGTCAGTAACTAAAATTGGGTAAAAGGTGTCAAAAAACCCATAAACATCCTGTTTTTTCCGTCGTTAGGAACTACATTTTAAAAAGGAGTAATTATAATTTAGTGGTGTTTTTACAAGACATGTTAGACTGAAGTGGTGCCCACTATATCCCATAAAACTGTTCTGATGACAAATCATTACTTATCTGATTCAAGAAGTGTGTCACTAGTCATAATCTGGCTAATTTTATATAGAAAAACAAAATAGACAATATTCAAATGGCCGTAGTTACGTGCATTTCCATTCAAAATACTTTTAGTTGGTTTAAAAGTCAAGCTCGAAATCTGTCCTTCAAGAGTCGTGCTTCAAACAATTTCACATCTCATTGCGATCTGTTAAACGTTGGTTCCCCGCGCCCCGCTGCAACCGCTGTTCACGAGTCCCATTTGAGCCGCGCCGCTGGCTCATTTCTTTATTACTTGTTAGGCTGAGTTGAACATGTTTGGGGAGATATTACACGGATACGGAAGTAAAGAGATTACTAACTTGTTACTTAGTTTACGCAGAAACCAACCGTCCCCGGGCATGCGCCAGTAAAGACACCGAGGCACTCTCATTAATCCTTTTCGATATGCCATTCTTTCCATTATCAACTTCCTCTGCATTTCGAACCTTCAATTCACGACATTTATTAACAATATTTCCATGCACAATCACTTCGCTTATGGAAAAGTAAGGTGTATACGGCGCAGCAAATGGATATTAGAACTGATGCCTAGAATAAAATATTTATTCATTCATTTGACATAAAACAGTTAAAACTGTGTGTGACGTACCATGGGGAGAAGGGCATTCTGTGCACGCTTTCTTAAATTCTGGAATCTCTACCCTAACCCATATACAAGTTGAATTCTTAATATAGATGGAAATAAGCATTTTCGGCAAGAATTGATAAGACAAATTTGCTGCAGTGTAATAAAAACTATTTGCAAAGGCAAATTAGCTGTAGATTTTTGCTTTTATCCCTCATCGAGCCTTTCGTGAAGGAATCGACTCTCTGCTATGGAGAAAAATCATTTGAATAACTATATAGCCCACAGAATGCTTAGAAGACGTGCATAGGTAGTACAGTTCCATTATATGATTACACAAAAATTACATATTACAATACAGAAGAAAATCAAAAGCGAAAAGTCAAACTTTTCGTTGGTTTCAAACTCTTTTCGAGCTAAGGCCGTTTGAAAATAGCCGATTTGTTTTTATGGTGCACACACAAAATTAGCCGTATTCGGTGTCGGCCAGTGACACACTTATTGTCACGTAAGTAATGTTTCATGGTCAGGATATTATTAAGAATATAGTGAGCACCACTGCAGATTAATATCTCTTCAGAAAATACCATTAATACCACACTCCTTGATTTTCTAAACGTAGGTCAAAAAGGCGGAAAACTGTTTATGAGGGTTGTAGCTCCCCTAACCCATTTTAAATACCGTTTCATTGATGTGGATGTTGATTTCGCTAAGCCACTGATAAGTGTTTTTTTTCCTTTGATATCTCAATATGTTCTGCACTGAGAAAGAGATGGAAGGTCCATATTCAATTTGTACACCCATTTATGAGCAATTCAACCGAAATTTTGTGAGTTACCATAGGACATATTCATTCCAATTTTGTGTTCAAAGGTTACTATTTTTAATATATTTGATTATTTTTAATATATTTTATAATATATCTTTTTGTGCACTGAGGTGTCGATGATTTACAATTTTGAGTCAGGGAAATCTCTATCCCAGAATGTACCGGAATTCTGAAATATGTATTGCCATAGAGATTCGAGCAATAGAAACCAAATCAAACACTGTAACGTACATGTTCTACAAGCATTCTTTTTCTTACTTTGCACTCTCAACTACGTGATTTGGAAGCTTTTATTGAAAATAGAAGCACGCAAGTACTAAATTAGATATGGTACATTTATGCATGCTCTACAAAAGGGGAAGAACTGTACATTACATGCTCAAGAAGTCGTATACAGTTTTTAATACAATATGATAAGCGCTATTTTAGGCTGTAGTTTTCATATTCAATATTTTTTTTTACAAGTGTGTAAACTAGGCCATTATGTACGAGTTAGTTTATTCACAAACGCTTCAACTATTACCCACGCGTAATATAAGTTTTATTTTATCCAATCGCCTTTTTAATATTTTGACATTTTTTTAGCAGTGTGTCTATATGATCACTACAGACTTTTGACAGAATGACAGACAATGATTACAACAGCAACGCCAAGTGCTGGTTAGAGGGGGACCGACCCTCGACTTTCACCTAGTTTGGGTTCTTGGGAAGGTGTTTGACGACATGCGGCAACAAAACATTTTTCTTTATCAATTCAAAAACAAACTCCGGGGTGTATGATATGACTGTGGTAACACAATCGCGTGGTATGCTTTGTGCTGAGCCATCATTCACAGCAGGATGCGGACAAATTGCAATCAAGACGATTGAAACTTTCCCGAAAGTATTAGAACTAAAGGCTACGCTAAGCTGTGAAGAAGGACGAGGAAAAGGAGAAGAAGAATAAAAAGAAAGGAAAGAAGAAAGGAAAGGAAATAAGAAA